GGCTCATTTTAGGGAAGTTTTTTTTTTTTAGTTATTTTGCGAGACAGGACTCGGTGACTCTCAAGGTGGTCCTAGTGGCATTAAGAAACAGAGAAGAGAAGCAACCCCAGAAAAGCAATTGGTACCTGAGGTGTTGCTGGAAGGGGATTCCCCCTTTCCAAAAATATAAACAGTCCAATCTCTCTCCTCCTCCAGTCTCCCATACACTAAGAAGAATCTCCAATAAAGGTAAGTGTTATGCTGTTAATGTTTCATTCATCATTTCCCATTGTATTGTTTATGTACTACATGTATATTTCATGTAAAAAAAATTTTTGTTTTAATACTTCTGGGTGTCAGGAACGGATTAATTGTATTTACATTATTTCTTATGGGGAAAATTGATTCGCAAATCGTAGATTTCGTTAATAGTAGCAGCTCCAGGAACGGATTAACTACGAAAAACGAGGGACCACTGTATTTATAAGTTGGTTTATAAAAGAAGTAAATGCTAGGGTGTTCGGGAGAGGGGTGAGATTAAATTATGGGGAATCAAATGCAAAATGGGAATTGACACAGTTACTTTTTGTTGATGATACTGTGCTTATGGGAGACTCTAAAGAAAAATTGCAGTGGTTAGTGGACGAGTTTGGGAGTGTGTGTAAAGGTAGAATGTTGAAAGTGAACATAGAAAAGAGTAAGGTGATGAGGGTATCAAATGATTTAGATAAAGAAAATTTGGATATCAAATTGGGGAGTAGGAGTATGGAAGAAGTGAATGTTTTCAGATATTTGGGAGTTGAATGTCAGCAGATGGATTTATGAAGGATGAGGTTAATCATAGAATTGATGAAAGAAAAAAGGCGAGTGGTGCATTGAGGTATATGTGGAGACAAAAAACATTACCTATGGAGGCAGAGAAGGGAATGTATGAAAGTATGTAGTGCGAACACTCTTATATGGGTGTGAAGCTGGGTTGTAAATGCAGCAGCGAGGAGACGGTTGGAGGCAGTGGAGATGTCCTGTCTAAGGGTTTAAAGTGTGGTGTAAATATTATGCAAAAAATTCGGAGTGTGGAAATTAGGAGAAGGTGTGGAGTTAATAAAAGTATTAGAGGGCTGAAGAGGGGTTGTTGAGGTGGTTTGGTCATTTAGAGAGAATGGATCAAAGTAGAATGACATGGAGAGCGTATAAATCTGTAGGGGAAGGAAGGAGGGGTAGGGGTCGGCCTTGGAAAGGTTGGAGGGAGGGGGTAAAGGAGGTTTTGTGGGCAAGAGGCATGGACTTCCACCAAACTTCCGGGAGCGTGTTAGATAGGAGTGAATGGAGACAAATGGTATTTGGGACCTGACGAGCTGTTGGAGTATGAGCAGGGTAATATTTAGTGAAGGGATTCAGGGAAACCGGTTATTTTTATTTAGGCGGACTTGAGTCCTGGAAATGGGAAGTAGAATGCCTGCACTTTAAAGGAGGGGTTTGGGATATTGGCAGTTTGGAGGGATATGTTGTCTGTCTTTATATGTATATGCTTCTAAGCCGTTGTATTCTGAGCACCTCTGCAAAAACAGTGATTATGTGTGAATGAGGTGAAAGTGTTGAATGATGATGAAAGTATTTTCTTTTTGGGGATTTTCTTTTTTGGGCGACCTTGCTTCGGTGGGAGACGGCTGACTTGTTGAAAAAAAAAATACAAAAAATGTGTTAATTGACTGTTTATATTATCAGTAAGGCTTCCCGTTATCTGTAGGCTATTAGTAGTTAAGTTTACTTGAATTTTCAGTTGCACAGGGGTCAGCGCCACTAACTCCTGCATTGTTCAAGGGTCAGTTGTATTTACGAATGCAGTACTAGAGTGTGCAGCAAAGATTTGTGGTTATACAATGGGTATGGGAGGGAAGATTAAAGAATGTTCAAATGGTGAGATATGTAAACGATGTTAGGGGGAGAAGTTAATATGTGAATGGTCATACTGTATAAAAATAATAACAGCCAGTGTACAGTCGATCCCTTGTATCTGCAGATTCAGTTTCTGCAGTTTCAGTTATCTGCTGAGGTAAACCACTCAGAAATAATAACCTTTTCAGGGTTGAGACCCCTGATCTCAAACTTGTTCTCGGGATTGAAGAATTAAAAAAAAAAAAAACTATGAAATGATAGAGAAATCTTTTTCCAAAGGTAATGGAACCAAAGGTATGAAATTTGATGGAGAACTTAGAGAATTATGCTCTCATAAAGTCAGCAGTCTCAACGATATTTGTGTACTGGCGATTTTGCCCACTTTCAGCCAATTCCATTGTTTCAGTCGACCAAACTCATAGCTATTTTGCTAGTACAGTACTGTATTTCTTTCATTATATTGAGTACAAGAAACCACCCATTTACCTACTCCAACTACTCAGTAAAGTGATCAGAAATCGATAATTTGGCCACTTTCACACAAAATTCCAAATTGTCAATTAAAAAATAGGGTCCATAATAAACAATGCAGACATTCCTGGCACTAAAAAAAATTTCCTCTGTTCATTAGTTACATCTCTAGGCCTTTCCTATATTACACATGCTTTCCATTTTGAATTTTTATTCACACAAAAAGTAGATTTATTGTTATGCAGACTGCTGCATTATTGTAATAATTGCATAAATGATGTCAGCATGTTTGTGGACACATTAGACCAACCAGTCAGACAAGTATTGAATGAGTGACTTAATTTGTGCACTCTGAAATATCAACAAAAATAAAACAATTCTACTGATTTTAGCTGAATTTTATACTACCATCAGTCCTGAAACCAATCAATATCATGTCTATTTCTGTAATATATCTTCCATTCTGTAAAATGAGACCAAGAAACCAAAAATGCAACCATAAAAAATTATACAAAAATACACAGCAAAGCTGCTGTTTTAACCCAAAAACACAGTTGCCGTTTTTTTCCCATTATGCCCTGCTTGCTACAGGATATTTTTTATGTGGTGCATACTTACCACGTAGATCCATTCATATTTACCACAAAACTTATCTGAGTGAGCTGAGGTCATGGCGTAGTACTATGGGACTGACTCACACTAATTGTACAACAGGACCCACTCCAAAAGGGTTAAGGAAGTTGCAGTTTGTGGTTTCAATTTTTTATTTATTGTCCGATTTCATTTATTTTTTACTGTTTGTAAAAAAGAGTGCATAAAATATGGTCATATAAAGTTTCATAAAGATCAGTCAGCAAACAAATGAATAAAAAATTACTGAAAATTGAATTTGGCAGCAAACAAGCACATACAGGCACTGCCAAAAGTCAGTCAGTCAGTGGGTCAGTAAGTCAATCAGTAGGTTGGTCAGTGGGTCAAGTCAGTCAGTCAAGTGGCAGTGGTGGCAGCAGCAGCAGCAGGTGGTGGTGGTTGTGGAGGTGGAGTAGGAATCTATTTTATTATTACTTAATGTTGGTAATGTCTTGTTGTGTCTAATTTATCAGTTAACCCTTAAATGGTTCAAACGTATATATACGTTCTCTCGCGTAGCGCCCCAAATTTTTTGAGAAAAAAAATCGTATTTTATTAATAGGAAAAAAGAGCATATGGTACCCAGGCATCCCCAATTTTTTTCATATGGCACACAGTGAGTGCACACACCCATTCTCTCACATCTAGGCAACTCAGGCTTATTGTGCCAATGTTGAATGAATGACAAAGGAAACGTATATACATATACGTTTGGGGCGCTATGCGAGAAAACGTATATATACGTTTGGACCGTTTAAAGGTTAAACATTTCGATAAGTATGTATGTAAATGAAAAATGACTTGTATATAGGGTTTACTACTATCCATTGTTTTGGGCATCCGCTGTAGGTCTTAGAACGTATCACCCGTGGATACATGGGATAACTGTATATTGAGATAAAAAAAAGGTTTAAGGAGTTCAAAAGAAGAGCAAATAAGAGACTGGGTGGTCTGCATCAGAAAATTTTGCAGATAAAAAATGTTTTGAAGGATGAATATGAGAGCCTGAAGAGCAAATAGACTTGGCAATTAAGAATGAAGGGGTGAGGTGTTAGATGGGAGGTGAAGGTAACGGAAAAATGGAAAGAATCTTTTCAGTTAAACGGTGATGATGAAAGGGAAGTGGTGATTTCATTTGTGGCTTATGGATGAGTAGGATTTGTTAGGGGTTGGCAAGTTGAAAGAATAAAGCAATGGGAATTGGCATGATTTAGACAGTATGCTTGCAAGCAATTGATCATACAGTTTTGGAATAGTCGATGTATTTGTTAGCTTATGTATGAAAGAGGGTTGTTGTAATTGTGATGTTCTTGCACCTTGCACTGCTGGCAAGACAGCCTTTGAATGAGTGATGGATGAATGTTTGAGGGTAGCTAAGGCAGTGGTAAAATGTCATGCTGGAGATACAATGTGTGGATTATGAATGTTATGCAGATAATAAGGTGTGAAGAAATTGGAAGACAGTGCAGTAGTATGAAATGTGTAGTTCTGAGAGTGAAGGGGTCATTGGGATGGCTTTTGTCATTTAGAAAAACTGGAGGAGTAGAATAGGTTAACCAAGAACGTAAATCTGGGATAGATGGAAGGAAGTGTTAGGGATTTTCCAGGGAAAGGTTGAAAAGAGGTTTAGTGGTAGTCATTTAAGCATTCAGCAGGCATGTGTATCATCACGTTCAATCAAAGTAGCTAGAGAGAGAGCAAAATGCTGCATATTGTACTTTATGTATCATATTTTTATTTCTAGTAAACATACATTTCCCATGTAATATGAGTTCAAGAGTTTATTAGTGTTTAATATATTAGGATGCTGCAGTCCAATGGGTCATGAAAAACAGTGAGAATGAGGGATTTGAGCATGTTTTCTTCTTTGAGTTACCCTACCTTGGTGAGAAATAGCAAACTTCTATAAAAAACTTAGCAGGAATAGACATGTTGTGACAGCACAAGTTTGTGCTGCAGTGTTTGTCATTTCATCGCTATCATCAGCAGTGTGCTACTTAGATCCAATAAAAAGTTTATTTCAGGTATTTCGGGACATCTTTGAAAAAGATAATTACCATCCCATTCAAGTGGAGACACCAGAAGAATATAATAATATTAAGGAGGTTTTCCCATACCACGAGACTGCTCTAGAACAAGCACCCTTCCCAAAGCGCTTCCCTTTTAGTCTGATGGTTCCTAAGGTGTACAGAGAAGTCAAAATTTATATTGGTGCCTGTCTGGAGTTTTCAGAAGATTTAAATTTAAGGTTTGTAATGAAAAATTGGGATATGTTAAACATGGTACAGTATCTATACTTCTTGCAAAGGAATTGTCTTCATAAACTTAAATATATATACTATTCTTTATTGTGTAAAGTACTAACCAAGTAAGATGGTTGATAAAATGCTTGTATTGTATGGTTATATTATGAAATAACTTCATATTATGTACAGTAATTCTTGAGTTTTATGCTACTTAGCCAAACAGAAAAGGAAGATATGGTTCGGAAGTCCACCAACTTGCTTCTGACACGAACCCTGAGTGGTTGCTTGGCAACCTTGATCAAAAGACCTGGCTTGCGACTATTGCAGCTGATCCAAATTACCATCAACACACTTCATCTGGAGCGTGCTAATGTTCTCTTAGAGCACTATGTTGCCAAACTAACAGGGTAAGTTGTAACCAAACGTAATTGAATTCTCCAATATTGGAAACGATTATAATTTCCAGTACATACATCACCAACGATTCAATGGCATCAGAATAAGGAGCTTTTCAAAATAATTTTTTTCAGAGTGAAACACACATAAAAGTCAGCATATTTCAATAAAAAGTTGAAATGCTAGTGTTTAATATATGACTTGGCAACAATGGCCAGCTAATTCCAGCTTCACATATCATGGCTTGTATTTTATTCAGTTTTTCTCGTGAATTGATTGCAGGTATGTCTGTGGCAGCAAGTGTTGTAGTGTTTTATGTTTAAAACGTATTGACCATGCCATGCAAATATAAATAACATTGTTTTTCAGGAAATTTTTATCAGTACAGGCAGGCCCATTCGTATGGCTCGTAACGTTTGCAGCCCCCGACAATAGGTGAAAATAGCTGGTGGGTAGAAGAGCGGGTTTTTTTTCAACATCAAATGAGCTTAAAATGCCTGATAACATGTTCACACTACCATATACTAAGCGCTCAATACAGCTAGGCATAAAAAAAATAAAATAAATAAAATACGCTGTACATACAATACCTACCATAAAATATGATGCCGTTCATCCTTCCCTTATGCAGCTGTTGTACAAAAATGGCGATGATGGCTGAAATGCAGTGAAAGCACTGAACATAATGAACAATGGCTCAATCAGAAGCCAACAAAAATGTGGAACACTGAAAAGTGGGAGCTGTATATGCTGGGCCTTCCTGTACTGACAAGTATTTTGGGTCTTCAAAAATTTGAAAGTGGACTGTTTACTTACAAGAAGCAATAGATAAACATGATATACATGCTGATGGAAATGGAGCCATTTGTTTCACTTGTAATTACCTCATTGTAGTTGTAGGAGCAGAGTTTTGCTCATGTCCTTTGCCTCACATACAGTATACGTGAAATTAAAATGCATGCGGCATAATATTATGTTGGACATTTATAAAGACCCTACATACTACGCGTGATAAATATAACCCTCCTATCCATCTTCCCTTACACTGAGTTTCAGTAGATGGTGGTTAGGTGACTGCCAGGACCTATGTGCTATGGCAGTGTTGCAAGGACCTTTGTACTGTAGGATGCTACTGAAACCTATATGCCAGAGCATCCTCTTATAAAATTGGCTCACCTTTACATTGTGGGGAATATATTGTAGAGATATTTTGGTTGACCAAGCACAGTCTGGACAAAGAGCCTGGCATTTCCTTTGGTTTAGTTAAGACTATTTTCTTTCCAAAATTTTCAGTACTGTAAGACCCCAGTGGGCTTAGTTAAGGTTATGACTAGTAGTATAATGATTATTAGAGCTGGGATGAAACCAAAATTTTTGCTGATACAAATTCTCAGTTTTAGGCCAATACTGATACCTATACCATAAAAATTAGCCAAAACCCACTGATACTGATGCTTGGCCACATTGCTAATAATTACTGTAAATCATAGAGAGAGAGAAAGAGGGTGGGGCTCGAAAACATTGCAGGTGAGTGCCATGGGTTCAGGCTCCACTCATTCTGTGATTTGTTTACAATTGTTATTATGTTTATAGTTGAAATTCTGTAATGTTTATGAACTGGTTAATTTTTTATATTGGTATGAGAGTAAAACTTTATACAGGGCTACCTACCACGCTCTGTTCCCCTGCAATGGATATATTGTATCGTTATTAAGTTGTAGCTACAGTTAGAGTAAGAGGTAGATAGGACAAAAGGAGAATGGAAACAGCAAGTAAGAGAGAGGTAAAAGTTTATAAACTCAGGGAGGAGAAAGCTAGGGTGAGATTTAAGCAACTCTTGGCAGAAAGGTGGGTTAGTACAAGTATGGGTAGTGGGGGGATTGAAGAGGGATAGGATAGTTTGAAATATCCAGTGTTAGAGTGTGGAGCAGAAGTTTGTGGCTAGATTGTGGGTGCAGGGGGACAAGAGGATGATTGTGGAATGATGAGGTAAAGGGTACAATAAAAGAGAAAAAGGTAGCTTATGAGAGATTTTTACAAAGCAGAAGTCATATAAGAAGGACAGAGTATATGGAGAGTAAAAGAAAGGTGAAGAGAGTGCAAAAGGAGAGCAAATGAATAGGAGTGGAGAGGTACTGTTGAGAAAATTTTGTTGAGAAAAAAAACATAAGAAAAAATTTTGGAGTGGTAATATTTTGAGGAGCTTAAAATGTTGATGAAGAAAGGGAGGTAAGTATTTCATGCACTGGCCAGGGAAGTATACATCTTTTCAGGATGAAGAAGAGAAGGATGGAGTGTGGGGGAGGTGCATGTAGGCATTAACATAGAATGAATGGGGGGTAAAGCAGCTGGATCTGATGGGATCATGACAGAAAAGTGAAAAGCATGGGGATGGGAGTGGTTGGAGTGGTTGGTATTTTTGCTAATAATGTATGAGAAAAGAGGATGCAAGAGAGAGAGAGATTTTGGGAGATGTTTAAGTAAGTATAGGAGCCGTTGAACCAAGTGAGAAGTAATTTGTGGTAGGGAACCTGAATGCTGAAGTTAGAGAGAAACTTTTAGAGAGGGTGTGGATAGGTAAGTTTTGGGGTGCCAGGTGTAAATGAATAATGGGAGCCCTTTGATTAAACTTTGTATAGAAAGGGGTTTAGTTATAGGTAATACATATTTTAAAAAAAGAGATAAATAAGTAGACAAGATATGATGTAGGGCGAAATGACTAGTTTTTTGTTGATTAAGTGTTGGGTAGATAAAAGACTGTTGAGTATACCTTCACAGGATGTAACATGTTTATAGAGGGGCCCACAGATATATCAAGATCACTTACTAGTTGTAAAGCTACACGAGTAAAAGTAGAATGGGATACAAGGAGAATGAAGTATCAGGAGAAGAGAGAGGTGAAGGTTTATAAACAAAAAGAGGAGGCAGTTTAGGGTAAGATATAAACAGCTATTGAGGATAGATTGCTTAATGAGAGCATAAAAGGCAATGGGGTCGAAGAGGTAAGGGGTAGGTTAAAAATTAGTGTAGAGTGTCATCAGAAGTTTGTGGTAACAGGACAGTGTGGGTGCGGGCGGGAAGAGGAGCGATGGTGGAATGATGACGTTAAAGAGAGTAGAAAGGGAGAAAAAGTTAGCATATGAAGAAGTTTTTACAAAGAAGAAAGTGATGCAAGGAAGAAGAGTAGATGAGAAAAAGAGAGCGTTAAGAGATTGGTGAAGCAATGTAAACAGAGAGCAAATGAGAATGGGTGAGATGTTATCACAACAAATTTGTTGAAAATAAGAAAAAGTTTTGGAAGTGAGATTAACAATTATGAAAGCCTAGAGAACAAATGATTTGGTCATTAACAAATAGGAGAGAGAGTTATTAAATGGAGAGTTAGAGGTATTGGGAAGATGGAGGAATATTTTGAGAATTTTAAATGTCGATGAAGATCGGAAGCTGTGATTCGTGTATAGGACAGCGGAGGAATAACATCTTGTAGGAGTGAGGAAGAGCCATTTTTGAGTGAGGGGGAAGTTCGTGAGGCAGTAGCAGAATGAAAGGGGTAGGCAGCCGGATTGATTGGGATAAGAAGATAGAAATGTTAAAACAGGTGGAGCTATAATTTTTGGATGGTTGGTGCAAATATTTAATAAATGTATGGAAGGGGGAAGGTACCTAGGGATTGGCAGAGAGCATGCATAGTTCCTTTGTATAAGGCAAAGGGGATAAAAGAGAGTGCAAAAATTTAGGGGATAAGTCCCGCTGAGTAATACCTGGTACAGTGTACGATAGAGTTAATTAATTGAAAGAATTAAAAGAAAGACGGAGAATAGGATAGCAAAGAACAGGAGGCTTTAGGAAAGGTAGGGGTGTGTGGACCAGTGTTTACAGTGAAACATATAAGTGAACAGTATTTAGAAAGGCTAAAGAGGTCTTTTTTGTTAGTTTTGTGGCATTTATGGATTTGGAAAATGCGTATGACAGGGTGATAGGGGGGCAAAGTGCAGATGTGCAAGTGTAAATGGTGTTGGAGGTAGTTACTGAAAGCAGTGAAGAGTTTTTTTAAACGAGGAAATGAGGCCTCAAGTTAGAGTAAGTAGGAAATGAGGGAAATTTTTTTTCCCCCACGAGTGTAAACAGTAGGCCTTAGACAACGATGTGTGATGTCACCAAATGGTTATTTAATATATTTATAGATGGGGTTGTAAGAGAATAAATTGCGAGGGTCTTGGCAAGAAGGTGTGGGAGTTAAAAGATAAGAATCACACGACAACAGTGGAGTTGTCACAGCTGCTCTTTGCTGAGACACTGTGCTCTTGGAGATTCTGTAAAGAAAGTTGCCGAGATTGTGATTAATTTGTAGGGTTGTGAAAAGAAGAAAATTAAAGTGAACTACAGGAAAGAGTAAGGTTAATGAGGAATAACAAAAAAATTAGGTGATTGAAAGATTGAATATTAGATTTGGAGGGAGAAGTAGGGAGGAGTGAATGTATTCAGATATTTTGGGAGTGGACATGTCAGCGGAAATGGGTCTTTGAAAGATGAAGGTTGAATCATAGAATTGAGAGGGGAAAAGAGTGAGTGTTTGCACTTTGAGACTGTGGAGACAAAAGAACTTTGTCCTTGGAGGCAAAAGGGGAATGTATGAGAGTATAGTTTTACCAAACGCTCTTAAAATGGGTGTGAAGCATTGAGTGATGAATGTTGCAGCGAGGAGAACAGGAGAGGCCAGTGGAGATGTCATGTCTGAGGGCATTGTGTGGTGAGAATATAATGCAGAGAATTCGTAGATGGAAGTAGGAGGAGGTGCGGGATTACAAAACTGTTGTCCCAGAGGGCTGAGGAAGGGTTTGTTGAGGTGTTCGACATTAGAGAGAAAGGAGCGATACAGACTGACTTCAAGAGTGTAACAGTCTGTATGGAAGGAAGGCTGGTAAGGGGTCGGCCTAGAAAGGTTGGAGAGAGGGGGTAAAGGAGGTTTTTGTTGTGCGAGGGGCTGGACTCCAGCAGGCAATGCTGAGCG